CCTGCTCTTCCTGCCTGCTCTTCCTGCCTGCCCTTCCTCCCTGCCCTTCCTCCCTGCCCTTCCTCCCTGCCCTCCCTGCCTGCCCTTCCCTGCCTGCCCTCCCTCCCTGCCCTTCCTGCCTGCCCTCCCTGCCTGCCCTTCCTCCCTGCCCTTCCTGCCTGCCCTTTCTCCCTGCCCTCCCTCCCTGCCCTTCCTCCCTGCCATTCCTGCCTGCCCTTCCTCCCTGCCCTTCCTCCCTGCCCTTCCTGCCTGCCCTTCCTCCCTGCCCTTCCTGCTTGCCCTTCCCTCCCTGCCCTTCCTCCCTGCCCTTCCTCCCTGTCCTTCCTGCCTGCCCTTCCTCCCTGCCCTTCCTGCCACGTGGGGACACAGGGTCGGGTCCCGGGGCTGAAGCAGCACAGGGGCACCGTGGCGCCCTCTGTGAAGCAGAGAGCAGCCTGGCCAGAGGCCAGTCCCCCCAGAGCCTTTGCCTGGCGGCCCGGCCCCCAGGGCTGGGAGCAGCTTCTCTTCCTGGCCAGTCACCCAGTCTGGGGTAACTGCACAGGACACAGATGGCCTAAGGCTGTTACTTCTGAAGTCCGGAGGGACGTGCATCTTCAGGGGACACGATCCTACCCACTCTAGTTCTCCACCTGTGCACTGGGTGCCACGGTGGTGGCTGAGGGCACTGTCTGGGTGGAGGTGGGCGGACGTGGTGCAGCTCTCTGAGGTGCTCTACCATGGGCGCCATGTTCGTACCCCCTTCCTTCCCAGTGCGACTTCCTGGGAGTGTCCCCTCACCCCCAAGCCAGCTGGATCCTGCAGAGAGGAGACTGCTGCTCGTCCTCTGCCAGCCCACGGCCCATCACGCAGGCGGGTGCCTGTGTGTGAGTATCTATTTGCTTATGTTTTGGTGACCATGTCCCCCAGGCTGGCCAAGCATCCTCCTGCCTCAGTCTCTGGAGCAACGGGGACAACAGGTAGGACATATATCATTTTCACTTTCTTACCCAATTGAACATACCTGGTTTTTGAAGGTAAAATTGGTGAAACTTATTCCTCCGTTTTCGGAGGAATAAATAGTAGTCTGTGATACCTGTTCTCCACGCGAATATGCAAAAATGGAATTATTTATCTCCTGGGAAAACAACACACAGAAAACAACCCCTCAGAAGAAGACAGCAGGGACAGCTGCCCCCGCCTGTGCTTGTGCCACCCTCATTTTAGAGATTGGGTCTCGCTGACCCCAGGCTGGAGGGCAGTGGCCCTTCACGACATGTCTGTCTGGCCGCTGACCAGCACTCGGTCGTGTTTGGGGCTGGGAAAGGAACCAGGGCCGCGCAGGCTGGGCCTGTGCTCAGGACTCTGCTGCCCGGTGGCAGCCCCAGCAGCCCAGAGGCCTGGCCTGTTTTGTTTCCCTCCTGGGCCGGCTGGTCCCTCCTCGGACACCTGGTGGACTGACGAGGCCCAGGTCCCATGGCCCACCACGGCCGTCACTCCATGGGAACCCAGGGTAACTCTGCCTAGTTCAGGTGGACCTGTCCCCTTCCTCCTAGACCCCGGGGCCACATATTCAGTCCTTAAAGACTGTGACCTCTGTGACCTCTATTGTGGGGTGGAAGGCAAACCTTACCAGCCCTGACAGACACCCAGCCTTGTTTGGGCTTTGACTGTCCAATTTTCACCCACTCCTGTTTGGTCACTCCACAGCAGCCCGTTCCCTTGTGGGAAGAGACATTCTCACAAAGGTGGGGGCTGCGCTTTCCTCCTCCCTCATATTCGCTTCCATCCAGACTCACCTGCCGCACCCCTGATCCTCACCCTCACCTTAGGACCACCCCCTAGTCCATCTGCCAGGGCCTCCCATCACCCTGCCCAAGGTGGACCCTACTGTCTGGGATGTTTCAAGCCCTTCTGTCGCCTCACACTGTAGGGGTTCTGTGTTTGGGATGGGGTCCCTGATGACTCCACGGCTGTGACATGCTGGTGCCTGGGGAAGCTTCTGTGCAAAGGCACAGGATGCCCGGTTGCTATGGCAACGCCCTCCGTGCTGGAGTCTCCTCAGCTTCCACCTTAACCTTAGGCACACAGCCCTGGGAACAGAGGAACTTGCTTGATCGATAACCACAAGGCTTCCCCAGGCTCCGGTGCTCCTGGAGCTGCCCGCCTAGCAGTGACTTCACACAGTGACCTCCCTGAGACTGCGCAAAGCTCCTGGCCCTGCGTACGGTAACTGTGACGCGTAACTCGGCATAAGCAGCCTTCCTGGTACTCTGAGCAATAGAGTGGTTGCGGTACTAATGACTAGCATAGATAAAGGTGGCCGCCTGGACAGAGAGCCCCGCTGCCACCTCTCCTGCCTCTGCACCTTGTCTCTGTGTCCTCTTTCTCTGAGATTCTTTACAGCACACCATGAACCCGTTCACATCGTCTCCAAAGCCCTCCATTTTCTGCCCAGTCACAATCCCCGCTCTCCCCCTTGCTGCCTGCCCCCCTTCTGCAGGGCAGCCTCCTCAGCTCCCTTCTTGTCCCAGGTGTGTGTGTGTGACCAGGCCTGCGCCACCCTGGCCTCGGGCCCAGGGCAGTTAGCACACACCCTCCTCCATTCACCTGGGGCTCCTTCTTCATCCTCACTCTGGCCTCCTTTGGGTAGGTGACTTCGCCCTCCCCTCCCTCCTCCTTGAAGCCAGACTTAAAGACAGGTAGGTAGTGAGCATCAGCAGGGTCTAACCGGAGTAGGACAAAGAAAATCCAGGAAACCAGAACCACACCTGGGAATTCGAAATGTTAGTGTCCCCAAGGCCCCAAGCCATCCTAGAGAACTGTTCATGAAGCAGCTCCCAGCAACAGGACAGTGCTCATCAAACCCCCAGCCGTCCTGCCCAGACTACTCCTCCGCCCCATCGGTCCACCTGTCTCCCACTTGGGCCTCCCCCCCAGAACCCCATCACTGCAGGATAGAGGGAACCCGACAGGAACCTGGGGGGACTAAAGAAGACCCAAGACATCCCCTTCCAGGGGAAGCAAGGACTCGTCACCGGTAAACAGCGGCGACACCCTCCCACGTCTACGCCTCTCCTCTCCGCCTCCCCATCTTCATAACTTTGCGAGCGCTCAGGAAAGTGGAAGGAGATCCCTCACAAGCAGCCTCTCTCCTTTCTCCACGCTGAGCCTTCCCCGGCTCCTCCTGCCTCCCCCCCCCCGCCCAGCTCCTACTTCCACTAATGGCCGGATTCCTCCAGAGACCCTCCTTCTAGACAAACAAGGGACCCAGAACTCTCCTGCATTGTAAAGCCCTGGGCAGCATCTCCCTGGCCACGGCCACGCGGAAGCTAACATGAGACACAAAGCACGGGGCCAGCAGGCTTGATCAGGGGCCTGGGGGGGGTGTCAATTTAACTTTTCCCTTGGTAACAACACAGAAGGAGGACTTCAAAACTTTCTCTCTGGGGCTGGGGCTCAGTGGTGGAGCCCTCGCCTAGCGCATGTGAGGCCCTGGGTTCGATCCTCAGCACCACATAAAAATAAATAAAATAAAGGTTTTGTGTCCAACTGCAACTAAGCGAACAACAAAACTTTCTCTGTCTCTCCACCTCCCTGACCTCCCACGCCCATTTCACCTTCAGGGGGCTAAAAAGCAGGGATTTGCTCTCGGGGTCCTTGGACCCATGATGTGGGATCAACCTTTGCCCCGTGACTTATCTATCTAAGGGGTGGCCCCTTGCCTGAGAACACTGGCCACAGCCTCTCTACTCATTAATGAGTCAAAGAAACCCACCTTTGGGGCCCCACTCACCATCCTGGCTCCCCATCCCGAAAGGAACTCCCCTCCCACCAGGGCTACCTTCCTTACCCCCGTCAACCTTTGTCTCCACAGGTCTCCCTGGTGGACGAGCCAGTCCTACTGGCCACATGTGCTCGCCTTTAAACCCCGCTGCTCCCCTGCCCTCAGGACTCTCCCCATGTCCTCCTCTCACCCTTTCCTGCACTAAACTCGGCAGGAGCTCCTTCCACACCCCCCACAGGAAGGCCCCTGCTCCAGGGAACATGCCCGTGGCCCACACATGGCTCCTTCCCTGGGGGTCTGCCAGGCAGGGTCCGCTCCCCTCCCCAACAACACGTCCAGTCGGCGGGCCGAGCTTGGCGCCTCCTCAGAGCCTTCCCTGGGGCAGAGGGGGCCTCCCGGACGTCCACACTGACTCCAAATACGCTGCCCACATTCTTCTCTCCCACTCTGCTCTCGGGAAGGAGTGGGATTCCTTGCCACCAAGGGACTTCATTACTCATGTCCCCTTTATCTCCTTCAGGTCTCCTTCAGGTCCCAAGGCTTCCCTCTGCCACTGGAACTGGGGGATGGCAGCTAAGAACCGCCCTCTCCAGGGGCACTTCCTTTCCTGACCCCCTCCTTGTCATAGCCTTCTGCTAAGCTGGCCCCTGCCTCCTTAGATTGATTCAAGACCAGACTCAGAGGATCTCTAACCAATCAGTCCTGGGAACCGGCTTCCGTCACAGGACTTCCAACCCCTCACCAACTGGGCGTCCAAAATAGGGGCTGCTGCTCTTCAGGACAATAACCCCTGCCCACGGCCTTCCTCTCCTCGGTCTTAACACCCTCATTCAAGCATGGTCCAAAAGTACTAAACGGAAAATTCCAGAAATGGGTGACTCATAAATTGTAAATAACAAGCTTTTCTGCACAGCGTGACGCAGTCTCCGTCCCCACGCTCCCCTGGCCCGGGGAGAAGCATCCCCTAGTTCAGCTGTGGGGGGAGGCCCAGCAATGGCTGAGTCAGGCCCCGGCCGAGGCCTCGGGGGCTGTGCGGTCTGTGGTGTGGCCAGGGCCGGGACCACCAGCTGCGTGGAGGGACCCACCCGAGTCCTGAACGTCAGCCTGTGAGCCCGGCCCCTGCAGCCTGGTGGCAGTGCCTCCTCTGTTTGGCTCCATGGAAAAGGGCCTAAAGGAAAGACTGGGGGGCGCTGAGTGGAACTGGTCGGGGCGGAAGCGAAGCTGGGGCTGGCCGATGGCCGTGGTCACCTCTGAACAAGGCATGTGTGCTCCCCTAACTGGCCTTGCACCTTCTCCCACCTGCTGGACGCGAATCGGAGCCCCCACCCTACCCGGGTGCCTCCGTGCTGTGTGTGCCACCTGCCCCTTGGCCATGCACTGAATGCCACAGCGTCCCAGGGCACAGCCCCGACCTCGCGGAACAAGGCCCCAAGCATGGGAGTGGCCATGTGGGCCACTGGACCCACCACAGAGGGGTCCAAAGTGCCTCCTTTAAGGAAAAGGAAAAACACAGTGGGCCCTGCTGGGAAGGAGAGCCCCGCACCCTGGCAGGACTCTGGTCACACGAGGTGACCGTCACTGTTCTGTTATTCCTTATCATTGCTGATCTCTACCTAAATCACAAGTTGGACTTTACCATGGGTCTCAACGTATATGAAAAATAGTTCACACAGACACCTGTGTACTTAGTGTGCACCTGTGTGCGCACGCACACACACACACAAGTGTGGCCTCTTGCTGTCCTCAGTGCCTGGCACCCTGGTCTCGAGACACGTGCCTTGCAGAGAGAACAAGGCTGTCTCCGTGGCAGTGGAGGTCACGGGGTAAAACGGCCTAGAACTGGGAATGTGCGTGGCTTCCATATCCATGTCCTGTTTGCTACCGTTTCACGACTGTGTGAGACGTGACCACTGGGGAACTGGCGGAAGGGCACCCGGGACTCTGTTCTTTTAGCAAATCCCTACAGTGTCTACAATTATTCCAAAATGGTGCGTTTGTTAAAACAAGATAGACAGGCCCACAGGGTGGCAGCTCTTTGATCTGAAGTCTCTCCAGGGCCCCTGCCAGCTCTCAGGCCCTCTTCCCAGCTCCACGGAGGTGACGTCCCCCGAGCCCCGCATGGGGCCCGTTCATGATGACTTGTGTTCGGGACAGAGTGAAGAAGGGAAAATCGTAGACCGTGCTTACCGTGCAAAAGGTGTTTCCAACAAAACAACAATTGTCACCAGAGATGTGTGAAACGGGATGCTGGATACCTGAAAAGAACCGGTGAACCTTACATACCGTTGTACACACAATCAGAGAACGTTCCAGAGTGGAGTGTGTCAACCTCGACACTAGGGACGTGGGGCAGTCACCCTCAGCTGCAGGCCCTCTCTAGGCGCCACAGGAGGCTCAACAGGTCCTCCTCTACCCTCAGTGCCGTAGCCTCTTCCCCCGGCTTTGGAAATGGAAAGTGTCTCTGAACACCGCAGGATTCCAGTGAGACCTGCTGGCTTGGGGGGGACTTCCAGGGCTGCAGAATCCCAGGTGGGGCTCCCTTCTCTTCTCAAGGCTTCCTTTCATTCTATTTAAAAGCAGAGGCTTCTCCTCCAGAGCCACACAGTCCCTGACCGTTAGGGAAATGCAGATCAAAGCCACGAGGAGGTGGCCCGCACCCCACGGGGATGGCTGATCAAAGCAGCAGAGGCCCAAGTGTGCCAAGGACGTGGGGAAGGGGCGATGGTGCACTGCGTGGGGCTGCAACGCTCGCAGTTCCCAGAAACCGACAGTCACGCGAGGATGCCGTTCCGCCCCTGGGGACACACCCAGAATCACTGACAGCAGGGACTGGGGAGGCCTGGCACCTGTGTTCCCAGCAGCAGGCTGTGCCAGAGGTGGAAAGGACCCCAGTGTCTGCCCACCGGCACCCACGTGGGAGTAGGCACGGTCACCACGTGGATGACCTCAAAGACTTTAGGTCAGTAAAGACGCCGGAGTAGGAGGACACAGAGGGCAGGACCGCACCTGCATCAGGTCCCGGAGTCGACATGATCATGGAGACAGGACAGAATGTGGGAACCTGGCGGGGAGCTGCCCTGAAGGCTCCCCCGGCCACCTCCTTGCCGCCTGCTCTGGGGTTCCCTGCTCTCCTCTTCAGGACGCTCACCGGGCCCCTAACGAGCAGTATGTGGGACTGAGCATCCCCATCAGGGGGTCACTCTTGGCCCTCCTGGGTCCTCCTGGGTCCTTTCCCCAAACCCACTCCGTTGCCGAGTCCTGGGGGTGTCTTCTGATTCAATCAGGCCGAGCAGGTTTTTGTGGCTGGGGCAGAAACACTGGGTTCCCACCCTCTGGGACGAGGCTTCGGGCCAATTTTCACTTGGGTCCTTCCCCACCCCATCCCTTCCTTCTTTTCCTTTTTCCAGTACTGGGGCCGGAACCCAGGGCCTCACACACCCAGGCAAGTGCTCCTCCACTGAGCCACACCTGGGGATGCACACCTGGCATCCACCACCCGGAGGCCTCGGCAAGAGGACTTCAAGTTCCAAACCAGCCTCAGCAACTCAGCAAGACCCTGACTCAAGTGCGGTTCCCCAGACCGTTTTATTTTGGGCGCGCACCCTTGGGTTCAATTCCCAGCACCTGGGGGTCGGGGGAAGGAGACAAGGTGACATCCAGGGGCTGACTCCCAAGTAGGGGGGCCATGTATGTTTCTGAAATTGATCCTCTCTTCTCTGAGGTTGGCTAAACTCCAACCAAGTTCAAAAACACAAAACCCACGTACCTGTCGCTATCTGCCAGATATCCTCCTTGTAGGCATAAGTATAGACTTTCCCATTCACTACCAACAGCAGGAACGCGTTGGCAAAATGTGCTGATGTCACTTCTGGCACGCCCACCTAGAAAGAAGGATGGGGGGGCAGTCACTGCGCTGTGTGGGACGCGGATCTGCTAAACTGTCCGTCCTCGACTCTGTCTCCAGGACACAGCTAGATGTCTGCGGGACAGGCCAGCAGCATGAGTGATGAGGGCTGATCTCTGGCCAGGAGCACAGGGGCCAGCGGCAGAACTTCCTGAGACAGTGACTGTGAGGGTGCTTCTGCTTTGGCTGAGGACCATTTAGGGAGGACTTGAAATGACCTCAGGAAATGAGGATACCATCCAATCTCAGGGGCACACAGTGGAAGGAAGACCCTGGGCCACTACTGTGTTTCCTTTCTCTCAAAGAAAAGCCCACTTTGGTAGTAGGAAGAGAACAGGACCAACCCGGTTTTAGCTTAGAAATTGCTCTTGGCCTCAAAGGGCACATTGCCAAAGAAACCTGAAACTAAGGAAAGCAGGCCACTCTGATGCTTCTGAACTCTGTCTTCCCCTGAATATTACGTATCTCAAAGATCCTTCAAACCATCTGGTAAAGTAACTACCGTCATGGATGTAGGGATGGCGAGTGGAAGGAGACTGCTCTCAAAGTTGTCTCTCGTGAGAAAAACGTGTTTTCTGAAATAAACCATAAAAGAGTCAAATTAGGACGATTTCACACAAGAAAATTTAAAAAGACAATGAAGTTACTCTAAAAATGTTCTGTTCAAGGGAAATTCCTGTTTAGCCAGGAACCATCCAGGTAACATCCGTTACTGATTTTGCAGGAGCACCTCTTTATAGCTCCGGTATTTGGTTTTGTTGTTTTGTTTTTGGTTTTTGGTTTTGCTACTGGGGATTGAACCCAATGGCGCTTAACCACTGAGCCACATCCCCAGCCTTTTTTATATTTCATTTAGAGACAGGGAGGGTCTCACTAAGTTGCTGAGGCTGGCCTGGAACTTTCGATCTTCCTGCCTCAGCCTCCGTAGCAGCTGGAATTGTAGGTGTGTGCCACTACGCCCCAACAGGGATGCAATTTTTTAAGAAAATCTTTTCAGTGGTCGGTGGAATCCACAGTTGCAGGACGTGGACGCTCTGCTGTGACTGTTTTAGTTACTTGCTGCTCTCTGCTCCCCTTTCTCCAAGCCTAGACCTAAGCGTGGACTCCCTGCAGCCAGCTAGGAGCAATGAGGGCAAAACCATCTCTGCTCATGTTTGTGGGATGAGTAAGTTTAATGTAAAGGAAGGAGACAGTGAATAAAATGGCCACTTACCCTAGATACAGTGCTATGTTTTTATCACAAGCATGTTTAATCAACCTGGTCCCAGACTGAAAATACAGCACATCCTAGAGAGAATCACACAGTCAATGAGATCAATGCTGATAACCAGGTAATACAACAACAACCCAATGTCAACATTACAAATGTAAAGGGTGAAATATCCATTAGGTAGGTGGCTTGTGTCAATGTCATTTCCTCTTTTTTATTTAATGGCATCTCATTATGTCCCCCAAGCTGGCCTTGAACTCCTGGGCTGAAGTGATTCTCCTGCCTCAGCCTTCCAAATTACCTGCGACGACAGGTGTATGCCACCATGCCCAGCTTCATTTTCCTCTTTTGGTTTTAGAGTGTGGCCATGTCAGGTGTTACCACTGAGGAAAGCTGGGGAGGGGTCCCTAGAGCCTCTCTGGACTATTTTTGCAGTTTGATGTCAATCTATAATCACAATGAAATAAAAGGTGGGATTCGTATCACACCTCATTCCTGTAGGTGTTGTCTACTGACGGATAGTAGCTGGGTACCGTGGCCCACGCCTGTTGTCCCAGCTGCTTTGGGAGGATGGGGTGGGAGGATCATTTGAGCCCAGGAGTTCAAAGCCAGGCTGAGCACCATGGCAAGAGCCATTCTCCAGGGGCTGAGGCTGTAGCTCGGTGGTAAAGTGCTTGTCTCACATGTGTGAGGCACTGGGTTCGATCCTCAGCACCACTAAAAATAGTGTGTTCATCTACAACTAAATAAATATTTTTTTTAAAAAAAGAGCCCTTCTCTAAACAAACAGAACACCCAGATGATTACTTGGAAGAGAGGCCTAAGGATGGAGAATCTTATGCCAGAATGTGAGAATCCAGAGACTTGATGATTTAGAAAGACTACCTTTGAAATTGCACAGCGTCAACAGGAAGCTTCCTTGGAGGGGAATTTGCTTTTTAGGCATCTTAAGCATGTGTTGGGTAATGTGGTGCTACCCGCCATGCTGCGCCACGGCCACGCAGAGCACCTCCACGTGACTGCATTTCAAAATCTATCAGATGTGATAGCAGACCTAGCTGTGGGTGGAGGGTCAGGTGACCTGAGTCCTAACCCCACTCCTACCCTTGGTAGGTTCCTTGATTAAAGCTCTCAACTAGATTTTAGGGAAATGGGAGTGATTATTCCCTGCTGCTACGGAAAATTAATTAAGGATTAAATAAAGCAATCTCCTTAGAGACCTGATGTACTGCTGCCCCTCAGGAGATATGAGGAAATGTTCCTCCCCCCCCAGCCATTAGATAAAAACTCAAGGCAGAACGTAGGGGGGAGCCACGTACCCCTTGGACTTGCTGAATGACGTTAAACACTTTTCCTGTCCTCACTGTGCGAATCCTGGAGGTAACAGATACATTTGCAGTCAATATTCAGACTATGTTAGTTACTGCCCTTGATTTTTTGAGGGTTGTGGGTGACCTGAAACTGTGGGCCCTCGGCTCTGTGAAGCAGATTTATGTATAGGCCTACACAGAGATGGAGCCTATCAGTTCCCAAAAGCTCATTCACAGAGCCCAGATGAGGAAGATAAAACTCCTGCTCCAAGCCGTTAGCTTTCTTGCTTCTTTCCTTACGCGATGGTGGGAATGGTGGCATAGTTTGTAGCAGAGATTCAGTCTTGAACCTTGAGTGAGCGCCCGCATGACTGGGAACCTTTGACCCAGTAAGTTTGGGGAATTGTGTTTCTACCCAATTCTAACCAATTCCTAGGTGCTGCGCTGCTTGGCCGGGGACCAGCAGCATGGGGGAAATGGGAGAAGTAGACATAACTGATCCTTATACGCCTTGAGATAAGTCCTCCTAGGAAGCCTTACAGGAAAACCTTACTCCCCACTTAGCTATATGTCTTTCAGCAAGTGGGTCTTAAGTTTTCCTGGGTCTGTTTTCACATCTATTAAATGAGATGAAGGAATCACTAATTTGTGAAGCTTGTCATAAAGACCCAAAGGGTCCCTGTGCCTTAGGCACACGCTGACTATCTCACAGTAAGCAGGTCCCTGCTGTGTGACAGCTCACTCCTGTGCCCGAGGGTGCCAACTGAGCTTTGGCATCTGCGTGGCCCGTGGCCCTTGCACACTATCCACCCGTCTACTGGAGTCTAGAAGTGTACTGGGTAAGGAGTGAATGAATGGGCAGCCCAGAGCCCACAGGCTCACGGTGCGAATTGGTCAAAAAATTAAATAACAGCAATTAGTGACAGGAAATACAAGAATCAGGGGACAGAAAGTAACAGTGGAGAAGGGCTTAAAAGGGGGAATGAAGAACTGGTCATGGAGAAATCTGGAAGCCAAACATGCCAGGCAGAGGGAACAGAAAGCCCTAAGCCTGGACCGAGGACGCGGATGTCTTGGCTGCAGTCCTGTGACCCAGGGGTCAGGCCAGGAGCTCTCGGAACCCCAGGAACCTCTCGGGTGATTGTGAAGTCTGGGAGAGGACGTACTACTACCGGCCCCCAGTGAGCGGAGACCAGGGACGTGGTCCAGCTAAACGTGGAAGGAGGCACAGGACAGCTCCAGGAGGAAACTCATCCGGCCGACTGTGCAAGGGGACTGCAGGCTGCGCGAGGCACGTGCGTTGTCCCGGGTTTCGGCGGAGAACCAAGGCAGGGGAATGCCCACAAAGAGCCGCTCAGGGGTTGGTCAACGGACAGGAGGACAAAGCCTAGGGTGGAGGCGGCCGAGGAGTCCCGGGGTAAAACTGGCGGACGCGGAGATGGGCTGGGAAGGTGGGAGAAAGGGCAGTACCAAGCCTGACTCCTACAGAGTCGGCGGCCTCAAGGACGTAGATGGACGGCGCCCTCCCCACCGCTAGCAGCACCCAGTCCCCGGAGGGCAGCCCCACCGGCACAGCTGACTAGCTCCGACCGGCGCCCAGAGCCGCGCGGTCGCCGCCACCACCAGCATCAACATCAGCATCTCGCTGGACACTGCTACCACCGCCCTACAACCGCCTCGGGCACTAGCTCCACAGGCAGGGCGTGCGTAGACGAGCCTGGGCGCTCCCGTGCCTGGGCATGCGCACATGGCAGCACCCTGCGCGGCCTGGATTGTGAGCATGCGCGACTGGATCCTGGGCCCGCAGGGCCCGTCAGTGTGGGCGTGCGCGTCCTGTCTCCTGGGAAGCTCGAATGCAACTTCACGGCCCAGAGCTTGGACATGCGCATGTCACCCGCTCCCCTAAGCGCGTGCACAGGGAGCCCATAAGTTCTCAAAGGCTTGCAGCATCAGTTCTTTCCCGGTGACTTTCCCGGTGTAGAGAAAGCTCTACAGCGCGTGAGGTGGGAGGCCGAGGGAGTTACCCCGCCCACCGCAAGCCCCTCCTAGAGGCGTGGCTTCTAGCGCCACGCCCTCCTCGGGGCCGCGGCACGCGCCAGGCGTCACGTGCGCCCCGGCCCGGAGAGCGGAAATGACGTGACTCCCGCGCGCCCCCAGTATGGCCGGGCCATGGCGGCGAGCACAGGCTACGTGCGGCTGTGGCGCGCGGCGCGGTGCTGGGCTCTGCGCCAGCCGCTGCTGGCCGCCGCCGGGGGGAGGGGCCCGACCGCGGCCGGCGCGTGGCTGCCCAGAGGCCGGAGGGCCTGCGACGCTTCGCCTCCTTGGGCGCTTTGGGGTCGAGGCCCGGCAGCCGCCGGTCAGTGGCGAGGGCTTTGGGAAGCGAACAGCCGCGGCAGCGGGGCATTCTCTGGCGGCGAGGATGCCGCCGACGGGGGCGGGGAGGAAGGCGCAGGGGGCGGTGCGGGCGCCGGGGAAGGCCCGGTCATAACGGCGCTCACGCCCATGACGATCCCGGACGTGTTCCCGCACCTGCCGCTCATCGCCATCACCCGCAACCCGGTGTTCCCGCGCTTTATCAAGATCATCGAGGTAATGGGAGCCCCCGCCTCGGCCTTGGTTTCCCCACCTCTGCAAGTGACAGGTTGGACCGAGGGATCGCGTAGCGCCCTCAGGCCGCAGAACTTTCTCCGAAGTTTCTCAGAGTTTGCAGTTGGAGTCTCATCCGCGCGGCACTGGTGGGGTGCTCCTGAGCAAATGCCTCACCCTTTTGAGTTCCTTGGGTTTGTTAGAGGAGTTGGGCTCCGTGAGCTTAGGACCCCCTTCGAGCCCTGGTGATGGAAGGCCGGGCGGACCAGAGGCAGTTTTGCAGCCCGCGTACTCTTCTGTAACTCCCTCGGGTGACAGTTTAGGAACCTCTTTGGGATCAGGATTCATTTCCTCGTTAAACAACCATTTCTTGGTTGCTTGTGCTCTGTCAGGTAGTTTTAGATTCCCGGCCTTTGGAGTTGACCTTCTGTGAGGATGAAATAAGCAGCAGTGACCGCCAGGAATAATAGAGCGAGGAATGGTAAAGAGGCTTGAGGGAGGGGAAGGAGGACTGAGTTATTCATTCAGCAGTGTTCTTGATGACTGCCACGGGGCAGGCAGAGGAAGGCAGCGGTGAACATCTGGCCTGAGGAGCAGATGTGGAGGTGGAAGAGGCAGTAAACCAGGTCCTTTCAGAGGAAGAGCCATGAGGGGGGCGGGAAGGAGCAGGGTGATGTAAGAGGGAGAAAGCAGTGACTGCAGGAGGCCCTTGTCATTCAGCTTTTAGAGTGAGAAGAACCCAAATGCCTCTCCCCCACCTACCACCCCCTCCCCTTTAAAATCAGTGGGAGCTCAAGTCCAGGGAGGAGAAAGGTTATCAGTTATTCCTGTAAGCAGGGTCACACAGTGAGTCAGCCTCTGCGTTCACATTCCAGAGTCTGGATAAATAAATAAATCCCAAGGATCGCTTGGAAGGGGAAAGGGCAGTGCAGAGGCAGCAGCCCACGAGTGGGGAGGGACAGACGAAGCCCCTCTCCAATTCTGTGTGTCCGAGCTCCCTTTTCAAGACCTTTCCTTGATGTTGAGTAATGGTTTCTGGGGCACACACCAGAGCCAGACCCCAAGGAGTCATTCGGCCCCACTACTCTTCAAGTTACTCCTCAAGGCCTTGATTTTCTTGTCTGTGAAATGGACATCAGAGTAGCATCTTACTGGTTGGAACTGTTGTGGGACTTATATGAAGTTCTGTGTCAAGGATTTGGATCTGTGTCTGGCACTTAGTTTGCCTCAGTACTGAGATGCTGCTGCTGCAGTTTGCTGCCCAGAGGAAGTTAGAAGTTATGTGGCAACTCCTCCTACGAGTGCTGTGGCAGGTGCACATGGAAGATGTTGGTGACATTTCAGAACTCCTCCCTGAAGGCCTCCGGCCCAGCTTTGACCCCACCCCCAGCTGTTCTCCTTATCTTCCCAGGCTTCTGGGGCCAGGACTGTTCACCAGGCTTGCCTCCCACCCCATAATGACAGATGCCCTTTGCCCCAGTACCCCAGCAGAGAGATGACTCCTCAAGAAAGTCCTGTGCCCATCTGGAGTTAGCCAGGAGGGCCAAACAAGTCACTGTGGACTGCATTAGGAGACCTGGTTGTCAGTGTTTCTGTCAGTGTTACCCTGGAAATAACAAGGATTCTGCCACGGGGATGGAGAGATAGGTGTGGAGGGTGTAGCAGTCAGCTGATGGCAGGGGAGAAGTGGGGGTGGCTTCTTTGGGACCCAATAAACATTTCTGAACCTGTTAGCAAATCTCTGTTTATGCTTGATTTTGTAGTTAATACTACTTGCTCTAATAGCTTCTCTCCTAATTGGTGGCCTTTGAATGTGGAGCAGCCTTTCTTAATTTTGGGGTCTTGCATCCTCTTACTGGATACTACACACTTTCTTCCCAGAAAAAGTATGTCTAAGCTGGATGTGGTAGTCTTGCCTGAAATCCCAGCTACTCAGAGGCTTAGGCAAAACAATTGCAAGTTTGAGGCCAGCGTCAGCAACTTAGTGTGATCCTGCCCTAGAAAATAGTAAGGACTGGGAATGTAACTCATTGGTAGAGGACCAGTGGGTTCAATCCCCAGTACTGCAAAAAAATAAAAAATAAATAAAATAAAAAAATAAATCTACAGCGTCGGGTGTTCCCACCACAAGACAAGAGCCTCTGTTGATCCTCGGTGTGGTCCCTGGGCCAGCAGCTTCAGTGTCACCTGGCAGTCAGTTTGAAACGCTGTTTCTGGGGCCCACCCCAGGCCTCCTGGATCAGAAATTGCATGGGTGGGGCCCCGCCGACAGTTTAAGCAGTCCTGCAACTGATTCTGGTGCCTGTTAAAGCTTAAGGTTCATTAACTAAGATCTGGCCAGGAACGAGTGGAGGGAATCAGCTGAGTCTCAGACGGCTGCACCCTGCCAGCCAGATGCTTCCTGGAGGTCAATGGAGCTCTGGCCCGCCCCTGGGATGACACCAAGAGTGCTGTGGTTCTGGGGTGTGAACATGACCAGCACAAGTGGATGAGGAGATAGTTCCTGTGAGAGTGTGGCCTGTGCAGAGGCCACGTTTGACCTCCACATATGTTGTCCTGACATTAAGAAAAGCAGAATGGTTATGATTTTCAAACTCAGACATTTTGCCACTGAAACAGCTTTTTTTTTTTTTTAATATTTTTTAGTTGTAATTGACATAATACTTTATTTTATATGTGGTACTGAGGATTGAACCCAGGGCCTCACATGTGCTAGGCAAGCGCTCTACCACTAAGCCACAATCCCAGCCCTGAAACAGCTTTTTGAGCGGGATGTTAAAGCAATTTCTTGGTTCCGGTCATTGTCTACTTTGAATTTTTTTTAAAAAATATTCTTTAGTTGTCAGTGAACCTTTATTTTATTTATTTATATGTGGTGCTGAGAATTAAACCCAGTGCCTCACACATGCTAGGCAAGCACTCTACCACTGAGTCCCAGCCCCTGAATTTTCTTTGGAAACGTGGGAGGGGCCACTACACTAGGTAATACTGTTCTGCCCCATCCCCTTCCAGTAACCCCACCCCTGTCCTTTTGGTCCAGATTCCTGGACCATGTTGATTAGTGTCCTGAATCAGGTTAGCATGTCCGTAGAGAGTAAAACTGTCGAGTGTCAGTAGAAGACCTGCCCTGCATTTCACTCGGGTTGTTGTCATGCTAGGTTAAAAATAAGAAGTTGGTTGAGCTGTTGAGAAGGAAAGTCCGTCTTGCCCAGCCATATGTCGGCGTCTTTCTAAAGAGAGATGACAAGTAAGTGGCATTTTTCCTTCATTCTTTTGTTGAAGGGGCCTTGGCGCCTGGCTCCCTGCAGTCCTGCTGTGTAGAGTAGCGTGGACCTTTCCCCTTGACCTAAGAGGAGCCCCGGCTAAGGGCTGGGCAGAATGCCTCTCTAGTCGCAGCTGAGGACTCCGCTGGTGGCTCCTGCACTGAGCTCCCGGGCTCTGTGTAGAGTGGTGGCCGCGCCTGGCTCCACCCTAGCACCGAGCAGGGAATCTCTGCAAACTGTCAAGATGAGGGATCTAGCTTCAAGAACCTGTAGTGTTAAAAGGCACCTGGGAGGCTGCTCGAGTGCCGAGCCAGCCCGAGGTCTCTTCCAAGTTAAAGGAGAGTGGAAGAGAACCCTTCCTCAGCTCTGACCTGGCAAGGAGCTGCCCTGTGGAGGTCACCCTGTGGGACCCCAGGGCGCCACTCTGCTTTTTGCTTTAATTTTTTTTCTTCTAGCTGTAGATGGACAGAATGCCTTTATTTTATTTAGTATGTGGTGCTGAGGCTCCAATCCAGTGCTCCCGTGTGTTGGGCAAGTGCTGTGCCACTGAGCCATGCCCTAGCCCCAGGCCACTGTTTGTAAAGTGCCGGCAGGGCCCTTCTATCCCACATGCCCCTGACGCTGTGCGCCCTGCAGCTCGGCTCATGCACCTTTCTGCTGTCCCTCAGCAATGAGGCCGATGTGGTCGAGAGCTTGGAGGAGATCTACCACACGGGGACGTTTGCCCAGATCCACGAGATGCAGGACCTTGGAGATAAGCTGCGCATGATCGTCACAGGACACAGAAGGTGTGTGAGCTGACCAGCAAAGGGCTTTGTCATGTGGGACCCTTGCACATGAGGCAGGTACAAAGAGCAGCCCTGGAGTGCCCCGTCCCTGCATGGATCCACCCTGTCAATCAGCCTTATGCAGATTCATTATAAGCACTAAGAG